AGAGTGGAGGTGGCCTTCTTGGTAGAGGAGCAGAGCTTTGCTTCCTCATGTCAGAGCTGATGACTGTTGGTCTAATGACTTGTAGCAGCAGCAGGGGAGGTCATGGAAGCACAGACCCACAGAATGAATGAAAGCAGTGAGTAGCATAGTTGTGACATTACAAAGTCCCACTTCAAATCTGTCAGAGACAGCAGTGCCTTAGATGACGTCACCCTGCAGATATACAGCTATGAGGAACAGTTTTACGAAGTGCACTGCAAGAGAATTTCAAGGCAAAAAGGTAGATTGTTAAGGGTACTACTTAGGAATTAACTTGTCTAGATTTTTCCTATAAGATGACAAATCTTTACATTTTTGAGTTCAGACACTGTGATTTGTGCACAAGGTACAACTGTAGCTTACACCTGAGCTCCAAGTAGAATTTTAAAGCTAGTAAAAAGTAAAATGATCCACTACAGGGGGACTGCTCCTAGACTGCAAGGGTTAATAACTTGTCTTTTTATAGGGGAGAGAGAAACAGTTCTACCTACCCGATTCTCCGCTTCCCTGGCAGATGGCACTCCCCTACACTCCGGCAGTGGACAGTCCCTCAACGGTGGATTCTGCTTTGGTCTTGATGACATCAGGACCCTAGACTGCTGGAGTGTGGAGGAGAGGATGCTGTAGGGACTGGTCCAGCTTTATGGAGAAGAGGAGGATCAGGTAAGTAATTTTTGTTTCACTAGATATAAACAAGCAATTAACCCTTGCAGTGCAGGCACAGCCCCAACCACAAGATATCATTTTGTAGTTGTCCAGAATTGGGCTTTAATCCAATACTTACATTGGTCCAGCTTGGACCAATTTAAGTATGCATATTTCATACTGGAGGGGCTAACAATCACTGCCACTACATTGATCACTTGGATCTTCAAGGTCCTATGTCAAGTGACTTCTCCACTACATACTGACCATAAAGGGTCGCTTGATCAGCATTGCAAGATCACTGCCCCTCCATCGCATCCAATCATTAAATTAATTGAAAAAATACAAGGTGTTTCTTGAATGGGTGGTGAAGTGAGTTACCTCCTATGGTCAGTAAGGAGTGGTGCAGGAGGTTGCGGCCACCACTGTAGTAGCACTGACTACTACAGTGACTGTCAGCTTATCCAGAGGCATAGGTATGACATATGCATACTTACATTGGTCTAAGCTGTAATTATTCAATAAAGATCATACCTAGAATTGAGCTTTACCACATAGGTAGTTGCCCACCGTCATTCATAGTTTGGCTCCAAGCACACTATTTTAAATTGTTTTTTCTTTCACATTCAACTGAAGCAGTGCTCATTAAAGTGGTTCTAATGGTTCGATTTAAAAAAAAAAGCACATCATACCAGCTCTGTGCAATAGTTTTGCAGAAAGTAGCCCCGCTCCTTCTCTTCTCGGGTCCTCCCACTGGTACTTCTGGCCCCCCCCCCTTGCCAAGTGCCAGGCAGCTTGCTCTGGGGGTACTTGTGTGTGCTGGCTCCAGAGCAACCTCTGTGTGGCTATGGTACACACAGAGGTGGCTCAGTCCTACTCCCTCCTCACTGGCTGTAATTGTCAGAAGTGGGAGCCAATGGCTCCTGCTGCCATGTCTCAACCAATGAGAAGAGAGAGACTCAGGAGAGCTGCTGCTCTCATGCACGTCATTTAGATCGAGATCGGGCTTAGGTAAGTATAAAGGGGGCTCCAGGAGGACCGGCACACTAAAAGTATACCTAAAGACAAAACTATTTTTACATTTTGGATAGAGTGGTGATGGATTAGAATGCCTGTCAGGTTTTATCGCTGTCTGTGACCCTGTTAGGGAGATTCACCCTTTCTATTTGTCCTGTTTACCATTATCATCAAAAGTGAAAGTAAAAGAATCCCCATATTTTGGGTTTCCCCATAAAAGTAATACGGGGAAATCTTCCAATGGGGACACTAGTTCTGCAACCAGGTCCCCAAGGAATTCCCTTAAGTGAAGGTAAATCTCCGCAATGGAACCCTTATTCTATCCCAAAATGAAAAAAAAAGTGTTGCCTATAGTTTTACTCTGAGGTCTTTTTACCTTCATGGATAGAATATATGAAGGTAAAAAACCTTCACCTTTTAAACCACTTTAAAGCCGATGATTTCTCCAATTTTTTCTTTTTGGTCTGTTCTCTGTTTTTGATACCTTTTTTTTCCATCCTTATGTGCTGAAAACCCTGCACTGTCTTGGCATTAGGTGCAAGGCCTTCTCATGGTTTTTCAGGTATTTAGACTCTTGCCTCAAAGTTCTCCTCAGCAGTGAATTAAAGCTGAATTCCAGGTATGGTGATTTTACATTGGTCCAACTTGGTATCCCCATGGACTGTAGTCATCACCACTACCACAGAGAGCCCCACTAGCTTCCAGGTCCTGGGTTGAGTAGCACCATTGCTTAGTGAACTCAGCAGGGTGCTTGTTTGGCTTGGGCACCATTCAGGTAAAGTTTTTCATTTTCTCAATGAATGCAAAGCATTCTCTGATTAGATGAGGTGGAGAGCAGTGACGTCATGATACTGTACCTTCAGTAGGATGTGGAAGCAGCTGCCTGAATTACTTTCATATGAAAGCCCATTGCCCACTCCACAGGTTTATAAAGCAGCTGGGGGTGTGTTTAAAATACTGTACCTGTTTACCAGGTGCTGTTTATGAATGGCTCTGTTAGAAAAGTGGTTTGGGAGGAATGGACTGCCTCTGGGCAAATTTGCTCTCAATTTATTCATTGCTAAATATGCATCAACATGGAGGTGCTCATAGATGAGAGTTACTATGTTTGTTCTCTGAAAAGTCGCTCCATGTGCACCTTACTTTAAAAACTAGTTATGGATTGTTTGGAGTGATTGCCATTTTTTTTTGTTAACATATTTCTCCCTTTTTTGTCCAATTGACCCTTGTATTCAGATGTACCTGCCCTCTCATGATCAGATTGGTTTTTATTTTTTTCGTTTTTGCTTTCCCCTTCTTTTATGGGTGTCTGAAAGGCAAATGAAACCTAGCGTAGGGACCTGCTTCCCTCTATTGTCTGTAATTGTAAGTGTTTTTTCTTCATACTGTCATAGAGTTATTTATGTACATCTCTCCATGTCCTTGCTAGCTGGTTCAGAAACCCCAGATTTCCAGGAGAGTTTCCAGAAAGAAGACAGAGAAAGAACTGAGCCATATGTCCTGTTCATGGAATTGTTACTGTTGTATTTTCACTCAGACCAGAAGAGACTATTGGAAACTACTAGGGAGGGACTATAGTGCAGAGTAGATAGGCTAACTCTAAGTTCCAGTGCCACACCACAGTTCCTGCCAGTGAGAAGTCCTATTCCAGGCTGGTTGGACAACAGTTGGAGGGTCTTCCTGTGATCACTGATCTTGTTTTCAGGTTTCCAACACAAAGGCAGACACTGCATTATCCTCAGCGGTCCCTGCAACTGGACTTTGATGCAACAGTCATCTGAAGGTATCTTTATCAATAACTATATATACCAGGGTATATGTGCACAATTCTACTAGGACTCCTAGAGGGCCATTTGCTGATAATACATGTTTGTAAATTGGATGTATTATTATTATACTGGATTTATATAGTGTCAACAGTTTGCACAACACTTTACAATATAAAGGGAGACAGTACAGTTGCAATACAATAAAAACAAGAGGATTAAGAGGGCCCTGCTCATAAGAGCTTACAATCTAATAGGGTGGGGCAAATGGTACAAAACGTTATAACTGTGGGGGATGTGCTGATGGAACTGATAAATGTTTAATTGGAGGCGTGATAGGTTTCCCTGAAGAAATGAGAAGGGATAGCCAGGCAGACTGAGGTAGAGAGTTCCAGAGGATGGGAGAGGCTCTGGCGAAGTCCTGGAGACAAGCATGGAAGGAGGAGACAAGGGAACTTGAGAGCAGGAGATCATGAGAGGAGCGGAGAGGACGTTTTGGGCAATATTTGGAAACAAGAATGGTGATGTAGCTCGGGGCAGAGTTGTGAATAGCTTTGTATGTTGTTTTTAGCATTTTGAATTTAATTCGCTGGGCAATTGGAAGCCAGTGGAGGAATTGGCAGAGAGGGGTGGCAGACACTGAGCAGCTGGTAAGATAGATAGGTCTGGCAGCAGCATTCATGACAAACTGAAAAAGGGGGTTGCCTACGGAGAGGTAGGCCTATGAGAAGGGAGTTGTAAGTGTCAAGGCAAGAGATAAGAAGGGAGTGAATGAGTAGCTTGGTGGTTTCATTAGTTAAGTGGGGATGAATTTTAGAGGTGTTATGGAGCTGAAGTCTACAAACTTTTGACAGCGATTGGATTTGGGGCCAAAAGTACAGTATGTACTGTTATTAATCTCTTCCTATATACATCTTGTATTATTTCTATACTGGTGTGGATCTGTATATTTATGGTTAATGTTATATGCTGGTTGCAGTAGTTCCTCTGCTCCCAATTACTTTGATTAGATTACTGATTGATTTCCCAGGGAGGGAATTTCCAGGAATTAATCTGTTCACAGAGGCCTTGTCCTGGATGGAGGCACTGCAAACTTTATTATGAAATCCATTCTTCCACTTAGCAAAGGTTCTGCTTCTTTTATTTACCTTCCTTATTTTTACCTTATTTAATGCAATATCCTGTTTGGAGAGGGCCATTTCTCATACCCCCACCCCCACCAAAAGAGGACTACACTAGTCATAAAAAATAACTAAAATAATAGCAGCTTTCCTTCCGCCTCCTATTTTTGTAACTGTAAATAATGTTGTCATTCTACCTACCTCATTAGTTTGCTTCACTCTCCACCTGCACCTTCACTCTATACATCCAGAATAGTGCCTTCCGTTTAACCGCCTCCTGTCCGCCATGTAAGGAAAACGACGGGCGCAAGGCGGTTCTCTCGTTCTGGGAGGACATCATATGACATCGTCCCACTCTAACCGTGCATGCGTGCCCCCGGGGGCATGCAGCGAGGCGATCGGTGATGCGCTGTGTCCCTGGGACACAGCGGATCACCGATCCGCTGAAAAAGCCTATGACTTCGGCTCTGTCATGTGATCAGCGGTGTCCAATCACAGCTGATCACATGTAAATAGGGAAATGCCGATTATCGCGACATTTCTCTCCTCACGAGCTGTCACGGCATTCCTCAGAGGGGACATGTACACTGATCATCAGGGCACTGATGATCAGTGTAGCCCCATCAGTGCCACCTGTCATTGCCCATCAATGCCACCTGTCAGTGCCCATCAGTGCATATCAATACCACATATCAATGCCTACCAGTGCACATCAATGCCACATATCAGTGCCCATCTGAGCTGCCTTTCAGTGCCAACTATCAGTGCCAGTCAGTGCCGCCTATGAGTGCTGCCAATCAGTGCAACCTATCAATACCAGTCAGTGCTGCCTATCAGTGCCCGTCAGTGCCGCCAGTCAGTGCCACCTATCAGTGCCAGTCAGTGCTGCCTATCAGTGCCTGTCAGTGCCACCTATCAGTGCCAGTCGTTGCCACCTATCAGTGCCAGTCAGTGCTGCCTTTCAGTGCCGTCTATCAGTGCCATATATGAGTACTGCCTTTCAGTGCCCATCAGTGATGTCTGTGAATGCCCATCAGTGCCACCTACCAGTGCCTCCCTCATCAGTGCCCATCAGTGCTGCCTATCACTGCCCATCAGTGCCCATCACTGGAGCCTCATTAGCGCACATCAGTGAAGGGTGAAGGAGAAAAAGTACTCATTTACAAAACTTTATAACAGAAACTAAGAAAAAAACTTTTTTTTTTTTCAAAATTTTCAGTTGTTTTTGGTATGTTTAACAAAAAATAAAAAAACCCAGAGGTGATTAAATACCACCAAAAGAAAGCTCTATCTGTCTCAAAAATATGATAAAAATTTCATATGGGTACAGTGTTGCATGACCGCGCAATTGTCATTCAAAGTGCGACAGCGCTGAAAGCTGGAAATTGTCCTGGGCAGGAAGGGGGTAGAAGTGCTGGTAGGTAAGTGGTTAAACTTGTGTAATTTTGTGGTGTTCATACCTCTGGCCTGTAGATGTCACTATTTACAATTGTTACATAAATAATACATTCTATACTCTGTGTTCCATTTCCTCTTTCTCTTCTGATATACTCATGGATGCCTGACCTAACACTCCATGACTACTCTGCCTCCATGACTACAGGAAACCACCAGATTGGTAAGGAGAAAGTCTCAGGTATCTTTTCAGCAGTCTGCATCTTTCCTTCCACACCCTGGTGAGCCTGCAATGCCTTACGTACCTACTAGATGTATATTTTCTATGTTCTAAGTTTGTTGCAGTTCCTGTTATAATATACTCATGGATGTCTGATGATCATCCGTTTTTATCCGTTAATGTCCGCATCCGTTAACATCCAGTTTTTGGAATGGAAGAAAACCCTATTTTTCTATATAAAAAAAAAAAACAAAAAAACAGAACGGATGAAAAATGTAAATGGCAAAAAAAAAACGGATGTAAACGGATGAAAAACAGACAGCCATGTATTTCTATGGACTAGGGGCTGTAAACGGATGATCCGTTTCTATCCGTTAATGTTCGTATCCGTTAACATCCAGTTTTTTGAATGGAATAAAACCCTATTTTTCTATATTAACCTCCCTGGTGGTATTCCCGAGTGTAGCTCAGGTTAAAGGTTCAGCATCACAAGCGGTAACCCCGAATACCATGCAGCGTTGCTCTGGGATCCTTCGATCTCTTATCTTGTCCTGCGCTTCCGCGATGTCCCTCCTGCAGTGTCCCCGGCCATCTCCTCCGGCAGATGTCAGCATCCGTCTTCCGGGTTCCGTTCCCTGCGAGCGTCGGGACGTACGGGGGACGGAATGGCGGGAAGTTTTAAAATGTTAAAAAGTGACATTCACTAAATACACTAAAATCACATAGTAAAACATTACTGTATCAAACCATTTCACATACATTTCGTCCCGAGTGCTTTGTCCTGTGCCCTGCCTGCATTTTTACTGTTCTTTCTGCCTGGAAACTGAGAAACGTCCATGGCGTCCAAAAAGCGTCCCTTTATGTCAAAAGCGGTTTTAGACCAGCTAGAGAACAGCGATAGTAAATCAGAACCACTTGCAGAATTGAGTGATAATGATTCGTGGGGGAAATTCATCATCAGACACTGAAAACGATTTTGCGACTAAGATCAGTGATGTGCGAACTTGGCGCTATATTTCAGATTTCATGGTTTTTGGTTTGATTATATTATTGAATTAAATGTATTATTATATTATTATTTTTTATGATTATTTATTAAATTATAATTTATGATTTTTGTGTTTCAAATTTTAACATACCCGGGATGTTTACTAGACTCTTGTTCAGACAGATTTCAGTGAGTTATTCCTAAAAATTACAGGCCTGCAATAAAAAAATGACATTTTCCATGCAAAGAAATGAACCGCTTTGAGAACAGAAATACTGTCATAATCAGACTGTTAGGGAGGTTAAAAAAAAAAAAAGACAGAACGGATGAAAAATGGATGTAAATGGAAAAAACGGATGTAAACGGATGAAAAAGAGACAGCCATGTATTTCTATGGACTAGTGGCTGTAAACGGATGATCATCCGTTTTTATCCGTTAATGTCCACATCCATTAACATCCATTTTTTTGAATGGAAGAAAGCCCTATTTTTCTATACTAAAAGAATACGAAAAAACAGAACGGATTAAAAATGGATGTAAATGGACAAAAAACAGATGTAAACGGATGAAAAACAGACAGTTACGTATTTCTATGGACTAGGGGCTGTAAACAGATGCTCATCCGTTTTTATCCGTTATTGTCCGCATTTTTAACATCTAGTTTTTTGAATGGAAGAAACCCCTATTTTTCTATGTTATAAAAAACCCGCAATGGATGAAAAACGTATGTAAACGGATAAAAAATGGATGCAAACGGATAAAAAACAGACAGTGTATTTTTCTGGACTGGGGCTGTAAATAAGCTGTTTATGCCTGTATACGTTAACATCCATTCTATGTTTTTCTCTGTTAAAAAAAAAACCGAACGGATGAAAAACGGATGCAAATGGATGAAAAATGGATGTAAACGGATGAAAATATGGGCAGCACAGTGCTGAATAGCACTTCTGCCTGGCAGTAACTAGGGTCGTTGGTTCGAATCCCAGCCACGGCACCTCCTGCCTGGAGTTTGCATTTTCTCCCTGTGCCTGCATGGGTTTCCTCCAGGTACTCCAGTTTCCTTCCACGCTCCAAAGACATGCTGGTAGGTTATAATTATTATTATTATACAGCCGACAGTTTGCTCAGCGCTTAACTTATGGAGGGAGACAGTATACAATACAGTTTAACCCTGCTCCTCGGAGCTTACAATCCATTAATTTTCTAAATGGCCCTAGTAGTATATGTAGATTTTACGCCCCTTGAGGGTTAGGGACTGATGTGAATGTACAATTTTTCATGGCCGAAATTGTTGGCACCCTTGATATTTTTCCTGAAAAAAACACAAAAAAGGTATTGCATTAACACATGTTTTGCTATACACATGTTTATTCTTTGTATGATTGGAACAAATATAAAACAGAGGCAAAAAAGCAAATATGGACACAAAACCCCAAAAATGGGCTGTAAACGGTTGCACACCCTTTGGAAAATATGAAATCAGGCATAACACAGTGGCTGAATAGCACTTCTGCCTGGCAACAGTTTTAAGATCTAGGGTCTGTTTGGGCCACTTCGAATCCCAGCCTTCTTTGCCATCCATTTCTGGATTGTCCCTGCTGGAAGACCCAGGATCTGGACGCAAACCCAGCTTTCTGACACTGGGCCCTACAGTTTGGTAATCCTCAGATTTCATGATGCCTTGCACACAGTCAAGGCACCCTGCCAGAGGCAGCAAAAACACCCCAAAAAAATCATTGAACCTCCACCATATTTTACCCGTAGGTACTGTGTTTTGTTCTTTGTAGGCCTCATTCCGTTTTTCGGTAAACAGTAGAATGATGTGCTTTACCGAAAAGCTCTATCTTGGTTCATCCTTTTCCAAGGCTTTTGGCTCTCAAGTACATTTTGAGTCATGCTGGTCAGCAGGTCCTCCTGGGTCTCCTGCCATAATTATTTAAATGTATAGTATACAGATGCTCCCTGACTTGATGTATAACATGTTTGGGGCTGCCGACATTCTGCGTTGCAATTTGCTCCACGACCAGGGAGATTAGCGTGCCATTTAAACTTATTGCGCACTGTGGACAAAGGGCAAATCTAGTTCTCTGACAGATGGACTTGTAACCTTGAGATTGTTGATATTTTGCCACAATTTTGGTTCTCAGGTCCTCAGACAGTTCTCGTCTCCTCTTTCTGTTGTCCATGCTTAGTGTGGCACAGACAAGGACACACAATGCAAAGGTTAAGTGAACGTCTCTCCTTTTTATCTGCTTTCTCGGAGCTATACAATGTAGCCCCAGTTGAATTGAATCCTGTCTAAATTTTGGCCCTTTTTGGAGGTTTGTGTGACATTATGTAGAATTTTACGCCCCTTTTTTTGTTTTGAATACACACAAAGGGAATAAACATGGGCAAAACATGTGTTAATGCAATGTTTCGTGAAAATACATGATTTCCTGGACAAGGGTGCCAACAATTTCGGCCATGACTGTATATGTAAAGCGCTGCGTAAACTGATGGCACTATATAAGTACCTGAAATAAATAAATGAAAAAACGGATGTAAACTGATATTAAAACGGATGTAAACTGCTGAAAAACAGATGTAAACTGATCTGTTTTTTTCTTTGAAAAAAACGTGACTGAACTGATGAAAAAAACGGAACGCCCATGTGAAAGGACCCTAACATTTATAAAAAAAGATCTGTGTACTTATTCATTTTTAGTCCACTCCAGACCGATCACGTGGTCCTGCAGCTCCGGCTCCCCTGTTGCAGGAGAGGAGGGAAGGCCGACAACTGATGGGCTATGTAAGTCTATGGGTGGCGTCATGGCTCCTGGAATTCCCATCCATTTCTGAGCACCCCCTGAGCTGGAGCTGGAGGAACACGTGACCTGAATTGAGAGGAATAAAATGAGGTACGTATACAGGTCTTTTTCATGGTTAGGTAGGATAAGTAGGCGGAGGGAGATGGAAAAATTTAAGAATAGTTAGGCTTAGGCTTTTCTCCTAATTGAATGAATCATAATATAACGTCTCTACCTCCAAGGCTACAGGACACAAGAAATATCTCTACAATATGTCCCTTCTAAGATACCTCCAAAGCTTCCTGTCTTCCCCTAAGGACTTGTTTACACAATGTCATTTGAGCTGCGTTGATCTGCATAGGCCAACTCCGGCTCAATGACAAGGCACATATAAAACAGTTGCTTTCTATGTGCCCTGTTCACA